CGGCTCGTCCTGCACGTGTGCGAGGAGCCGCGGGATGAGTGGGGGTGGAGGGAACGCATAGAGGAGACCCCTCAGCCAGGGGTGGTGAGCAAAGGCATCCACCCCCAGAGGCGGGTCGTCTCTGGCGCACATCAAGAACCAGAGGCGGCACTGCGCGTTCCCGCGCGCTGCGAACAGGTCTGCCACCGCTCGGCCGAACCTGTCCCACAGTGTCTGTGCCAGGGTTCAGCCTCCACTCGTTGGGCTGAGGTCTGCCCCGCGACATGAGGTCCGCGGCGCGGTTCTGCTCGCCAGGGACGTGTACGGCTCTGATGGAGAGCAAGTTCTGATGTGCCCAGAGCAGGAGTTCCCGTGCAATCTCCAGCAACTGGGCAGAGTGAACACCGCCTTGCCGGTTTATGTACGCGACGGCTGTCGTGTTGTCTGATCGGATCATGACGTGTCTGCCCTTCAGCACCGGTGCGAAATGCTTCACCACTTTGAGCACTGTAGCTAGTTCCAGACAGTTGATGTGGAGAGACGGGGTGTGATCCCATCGTCCTCCCATGGCCTGAGACAGACACGTGCCGCCCCAGCCGAGCAGAGACACATCTGTGAACACTGGGACGTGTGACGTGGCTCTGCCCAGGGGAACCCCCTTGTCAGCACACTGGGAGTTCCCCAGTACTCCAGGTCCGATTGGACTGAGGGTGGGACCGTGAGCACGCGCCCCTTGTGGCATAGTGGGTCGAGGCGCAGATGGCCGAACCACCTCTGAATCTTCCTCATATGGAGGAGACCGAGGGGGACTACGACGTGACCGGCTGACATCGTTCCTAATAAGCGCATGACGGATAGAGCCGTCACTCTTGCGTGGGGAATAATGTGGTGCAGGAGAGACCAAAGCATTTCTCGCCAGGTGGGTGTCAGCCTTGCTCTCATGTGCAGAGAGTCCAGGTGCACCCCCAGGTAACTGAGCATCTGAGAGGGCACTGGTGAACTCTTCTCCCAATTTATTGCAAACCCCAGTTGTGCCAGGTGCTGCACCAGCATCGCTGTGTGGGACGCCGCTTGATGTCTGGAGCGTGCCATCGGAATCAGATCGTCTAGGTAAAAGAGGACCCTGATTCCTGCTCTGCGCAGTGGTTCTAATGCCGCTTCCACGCACTTCGAAAAGGTGCGGGAGGCCAGGGAATAGCCGAATGGCAGCCTGTTGTACTGGGAGTGTGTGCCTTGGAAGGAGAAACGCAGGAATTTCCTGTGTTTGGGAATAATAGGCACATGATCTCTCAGATCGATGGAAGTAAACCAATCGCCGGGACGCATGCATTCCAGCACTTGTCTCGTGGTGAGCATATGAAACGGTCTCTGTACTATGTATTTGTTGAAGAGGGACAGATCGAGGATAGGTCTCATTTCACCCGATTTCTTGGGAACCAGGAAGTAGCGCGAGTAGAAGCCCTCGAGCTCCTGCCCCTGCGAAACCACGGAAATTGCTGCTTTGGCTAGCAGCACCTGCAACTCTGTCGCCAGTGCAGCGGAGCTCGCAGGTGAGGTTATGACAGCACGGCCCAAAGAGACCGTCTGGGCTGACAGGTCCTTCCAGCAGACTCTTCGGCAGAGGGCAATGTCAGCGCCGCAGCCATGGATTTGCCGATCTCCTCTGCGGCCTCCGCGGGGAGGGCCCCAGGCTGAGGGGCGAGGGAGGACACAGACGATGAGAGGAGGGCAATGTTGGTCAGAGCAGCCCCAGCTTGCGAGGCGCACTGATGAATGCGGTCTGTGAGCCGAGCGGTGACCTGGTCTGGGGCCAGCGGGGGAGTCGGCTGCCGACTGCCATGGAACACTGCCTTGGGAAGCAGGATGGCGGAGATGCTGGGTTCCAGGGACGGGACGGCGGAGAACCCAAGGTTGGTCATCCCCTTGACTCTGGTGAACGGTCCGAAGCGGGCGACCGGAGCCCGCAGGCCCCCAGGCCGCTCTTGTGCCTCGGCCAAGAGGGGCTGAATGGCGGGAAACCTGGGCCAGACTGGGGAGGGCTTGCGCAGCTGGGCCGCCTTGTAGTAGTCCCCCACCATTTCTGAAGGAGCAGGGGGTGGGCTGGCCTCAGGGACAGAGATGCCTTTTCGGCCCGCAGCCTTGGCGATAATCCAGGGCAGGTCGTGGAGCAAACCACCGGGCGCCGGAGGCTGGCTGGCGGGTGGAGCAAGATGCTCATGCGGGGAAAAACCACCTCCGCCGATCTCCCCGT